CTGCGGCTGCCCTGCCTCCTTCCAGTATAAGGCAGTAGCAGGAGGTGTCCCACGGGCCAAATCCAGGCCACCACGGGGCCTGCCCTGGCTGCTTAACTCGAGCTTCAGTTCCGCGGGAGCCTCCTCCACGTCAGAGCTTCGCGTTTTCCGCTGGTGTCTCAGGCTAACTCGGTGAAGGAGAGCTGTGAATAAAGTTAACACATCATCCTCTGTGGGTTTTTCAGTGTTTCTTCTTGTGGAGAGGGATGAGACGTGTAACCGCTGCAGCTGTAACTTGGGATGTGGAGCAGCTGGAATGTGTTTACCGCGGATTTTGTATTTCAGTCATTTTTATCTGTTGCGTACATGACCCCCCAGGGTCTGTAGAGGCACTGTGCTGTCTGTGTGCACACATCTGCATCCTACACACAAACATCGCAGCTCTCAGCCACCTATTTTGTTGTTCTTCACACCAATCTAGCTGCTTATGTTGGTGTTACTCGGGGCGGGGGGGTGGGAAAAAGAAGACAAAAAGCTTTTTAGTCTTCAGAGCGCTCAGATGTTCTCCCACGAATTGTGCAGCCTCCTCCCAAGGCTGTCAGACCTCACATGTACTTGGTAAAAGGCCACCTCCCTTAGGAAACGAGGGTTTAGGGTAAGGAGCTGCATTGTCTGCTCCTAAATCATGGGATTGCCTGCAGCCTTTGCAAGGACGGCAGTTCTCTCCAGTGGGCTTTGGCAGCCTGCGATTAATAGCTGCTTTATGCACACACAGGCTTTCCTCTGTCTTCACATCGGCTTCAGAGGTTGGGTTGCCTCTCGGTTGGTGAGCCTGTCGGGGAGAGGCGAGATGAAACGTGCTGCAAGAGCTCCCTCTAAGGGCTTCGGGCTTCCTCTGAGTCGCGGCTCTTGACTCTCTTTCTCTCCTCCGCGCAGTTGACACAACACCAAAGCATCCCTCTCAGTCTACAGTTTGTCAGAAGGGAACTCCTAACTCTGCCTCCAAAACCAAAGATAAAGTAAATAAGAGAAACGAGCGAGGAGAGACTCGGCTGCATCGAGCTGCCATCCGAGGAGATGCCCGGCGCATCAAGGAGCTCATTATCGAGGGTGCAGATGTCAATGTGAAGGACTTTGCAGGTAACCAAGCCCGCTGGCGGTACTGGCGGGGCAGCCCACGGATCCGAAGCTTTTCCCGCCTCGTTGCATGTTCCCCCTCCGAGAAGGGCTCCCACCAGAGAAAAATAGTTCCTTTAGAACGTGGGTTTGCTCCCTGTAAAGAGGGGATTGACCAAAAATAATGATTTTGCCCTTTGGGGAGGAAAAAGTCTCGCGGCCCTTTAAGACAAACACAACCTACTGCAGATGGGGCAAAATCATAAATCCCTGAAAAGCATCGGTTCCCTTGTTGGGAGCTCAGGAGATTCCCAGGCTGTCCTGTCTGCTCTGAACCTGCTGCCGCTCGGGGAGGGAGCGCTGGGCTGGCCTTGAGCCGTAGCGATCCCTGGGGCTGCCGCAGCTCCAGGCCCTGCAGCCGTGCCCGGGACCCTCTGGTCCGTTTTCTTGTGCCCTTCCACGTGGGTGCTGTCTTGGAAGTGTGGAGGGGGGTTTGCAAAGGGAGGTGGGGCTGGTTTAGCTCGCTCTTTGGGTTTTTTTTAACTTAAAATATAAGCAGTGATGTGCACAAACCCACTGAAAAGGGTGGGTTTGTAACATCACGGCTCCAGAGTTGAATGGCTGCTGCCTGCAGCGTTCTGGGGTTTGCTTCTAAGCAGAGCCTGGGCTGGGAACAGCCCCGAGTGCTGCGGCGAGATGCTGAGCGGTGCCGTTCCTGCACACCCCTGCCAGGGATGGGGCTCAGTCAGCGTGAGGCAGCCTTCCTTCCAGCACGTCCGAGAGCTTGACTTTGCTCTTTGCTGTTCTCTTCGCACGATTTTGGGGCTATAAATAGATAGGCGTGTTCCTCCGCCCGTATGATTAATATCGGTGCCAGACTGAGCTATCAGTGGTGATTAATTCTGGTCCCAGGTGCCCCTTTGTCGCGCTCCAAGGGAAGGTAACGGGACGAGCTCCCACGGCGCTATCAGCAAAACACCGAAGGAGCCGCGCACGTTTGCTGGGAAACTTCAAAACAGTTTCTGCTTAAAAATAGTCTTGTTTGAACGTGATAAAACAGTTCATTGTGTGTTCTTCGGAGGTTTGTTTGAGAACTAGAGCCGTTGTCGCTGCGGAGGCCTGCCGTTGGGTTCCTCCCCGAGCCGGGGGCACGGCTGCTTGCTTTGGAGAGCACACGGGAAATATTTGTGAGGTCTGTGTGGGGGATGTTTTGGAGAGGTGTCTGCAGCTCAGAGCTCAGTCCTGATCTGGGTGACAGCACTTCCCCCCCCCGGCCTTTACAGAGGCGTTGGAAGGGGGAAGGGTCTGAGGCCTGACTTCCACGCAGCATCAGCGATTCTCTTTCGTTTCCTACACAAAACTTTGCCTTTCCATTTCGTGGGGCTGCGCCCGTGCTGGCAGATGATCTGTCTGTAGCACGTTGGGTG